GCTCGCTAGAGCTCGTGTAAGCTCTGCTTGCTTTGGCGGGAGGTCGTAAGCTCTTAGTTGTAAACGCAATTGCTCGGCGAATGTTAGCAATTGCGGCGGTAGAGGTAGAAAAAGGGTTTATTCGCGCAATAGTCGTCTTTAGCACGTTTTTATAAGCTGAATACAACTTGTCGGCGAGACTTTTATCGTCTTTTAGACTTGGCCGAAGAGCTTTTTGCATTGCTTTTAGCTCTTTTTCGAGTTTTTCGAAGCATTCGTTAAGCGAGGTCTTTAGATTTTTTTTTTTGATTAAATCTAGCGAAATTTCTTTTTAGCGGTCGTATTTTGCTTGCCGCCGTTGGTTAGTCTTAAAGTGGTCTTTTATCGTAATAGCGTTTGCTTTGAAAGTAAGTAGCTTAGCTTTGATTACGTAGTTGTAATAAAACCTAATTGCTTTTTCGGCGAGTATAATCGGGAAAGCAATTAAGTAATCATCGGTTGTTAACTTGTATCGGCACGCGTAATCGGCAAAAATCTTGAGCCGAGTATTGAAATCGTTTTTCGGCTTTGAATACTTAAGCTCTTTTAGAAAACTCTTTGCAAATAAAGTTAATTCTTTCGCTTTTAGGTGTGGGTCCGCCGTTCCGAGCTTAAGAAAATCGTCGTCGTCGTTAAAGGCTTTAGGAGTGCTATAAGCGTTAGCTATCACTCGGGTCGAAAAAAGGGTGTTGGTAAAGGGTCGGTTTGGCTCGGGTCCGCCGGGGGGTTCGTATTCTCGTTTAAAGTCTCGTCCAGGGTCTTTTGGCGGCTTATTTCCGAATCTAAGGTCTTTTAAAGGTCCGTTTTCCTTTTTTTTCGTCGGGCCATCGTATCTTTTTCTTTTTTTTTCGTGCTTATTCTTTTCGCTTCTCTTTTTATTCTTTTTTTTTAGATCACCGTCCGAGCTATTTGGATCGCTAAGGTCGCTAGCAAGAGCTTGCTCTTTTTTTTGCTTGTATCTTTAGGCTCGGCTTTAACGGTATCTATTGCTTTGGTCTTGCTGCTTTTCAGCGCATTCTTTAAGTGATAAAATCGTTAGCTGAAGTAATAAAGGAACGAGAGAAAAGAATAAATCGCGAGAACTCCGCTTTAATGATTGCTTTGTTGCTTTAAGCTCTTTTTTGTGCTTTATAGCTTTTTCGATGCTTTCTTTACGCTTTTGCGCGTCTTTCGTAATTGTTAAGTTTCGGAGGTCGTTGAAGTCTCGCGCAATTGCTTCTTTTTAGCGTCGAAGCTCTTTGTACTTTTCGCGGAGTGATTAGCGAAGCGAATTTTTAAGTGAAGGTTCGTCGATGATTTTAATAAAGCGAATAAAGCTTGATTGAGGAAACCTTTCGATTTGTTTACTTTGAATTTTAGCGACTTTTTTAGTTTGTCGATTAAAGCGTGCAATAATAATTTCGTTCTACTTAAAATCAAATCCTTCGATTATTGCTTGCTGCGCTCGCTGCTTTTCTTAAGTTTATTAGTGCTTTTTTTCTATTTGTATAATTGAGGCTAGTCTATTGGCGTAGCTTTTTTGCTTTAGAAAGCATTAAACTCCTTTAGATAATAAGTAATCTTTTAGCTTAATAAGCAACGTAAATTTGCTTTTTCGATAGCCGTAAGCTTGTTTAGCGGTTAACGAAAACTCGTCCGCGCTTTATTTAGCAAAAGCGTATCGGAATAAAGACTAAAGCTCGTGGTCTTTTAATCTTTTACTCTTTATGTTCAAGAAGTCTTCGATAATTAATCTAGCTTTTGTATGACTTTTTAGCTTCGAATACGATAAGGAATCGAGGTCAAAACTGAAGTTCGACGTATTTTCGTCCGGTTTTTCGAAGGTATTCCGAGTGCTTGGATTAAGAAGTTATGCTAAAAGAAGGTCCGCGAATCTCGAAAAAGGGTCCGTAGCTCTTGCTAGCGTTTTAAAAGCTTTTTGTTTGCTTCGAAAGTCGATTGATTGCATATTGCCGAGCGTTAAAGCGTAGTATTATATGTTATGTGCAGCTAGCGTAGCTTTATAGCGTTGATAGGTTGTATTGCTGTATGTAACTAGCGTAGCTTTATAGCGTTGATAAGTTGTATATAAAAGTGACTTGATTCGGAATCACTCTTTTGTAGTAAATGAAGTATTCGAGGTGTAAGAAAGCGATTTAATACGGAATCGCTTTTTCGTAAAAAAGTGTAAAGGTATCGAAGTATAAGAAAGCGATTTGGTACGGAATCGCTTTTCCGTTATAAAAGAAAAGTATTCGAAGTATAAGAAAGCGACTTGGTACGGAATCGCTTTTCCGTTGTAAAGGAAAAGTATTCGAAGTGTTTGAATAGTGATTTTCATTGCGGTTGCAAGCTTCTTATAGCGCAAACTCATTACTTTTATACTCTTCGAGTAAGTAAAAGTAAAGTCTTAACTCTTCGATCGATCTTAGCTTCTTTATGATTAAGTAATGCTATTAGCGATTAAACAATCACTGATCAGTGTTAGATCGCCGGTAGCGATTTCTCGTAATAATTCGTAAAAGTCGTGACGTCGTTAAAGTACTTGCAATTGCAAAACACTCGGTGGTAAAATACTTAATTGTTGCTTGTTGTTTTGGTTGATTTCTTTTGCTTTAAGAAAGCTGACTCCTTCTATACAATAGGAAGGAGTTACGTGTACTAGCTAAATACTAGGTTTATAAGCAGGTTGGGGGGCCTTTTGACCTGTGACAGGCTAAGCGAGGCATGCTTAGTGGCCCGTGAACCCTGGTTCACGAGTGAGCCCCCCCTAATTACTATTTACTAGCTAAGGTCGATATAAATGAACCGACAGATTCTAACGAAGAAAGAAATGATTCGGCGTCGATTTCGATATCAAAAATCTTAAAAAAGTTTTCGATATTTTAAAGATCAAATATATATATATATATTAAGAATAATCGAGTTAATAAAAAGTTTTTGAATTGTTTAATTTTAACTCGTGAACCGAGTTCACGAGCTAAATAAATGACTTTCGCAAAGTATTTTCAATCCGAGATTAAAAAGAATAAACCTTTTACAAAAGTAAACTAATAATTAAGATCAAAACTATAAAAAACTTAAAAATCAATTGATTAGCTTCGCTAATAACTCCGGACTATATCAATTGCTTTAATTCAAAATAAGAGCTAAAGTATAAAAAGATATTTTCATTAATAAATGAAAATTCTTTCTTATTAATAATAAAAGAAAGTTTTTGCCGAAGAGCCGAAATATAGCACTTCAGCTATTTCGGCGTTTCGATGTCCGAACTTATCGAGAATAAAGATTTGATTGTTTTTTTTTTTAAAGTTGTAATTATAAAGTGTGAAAAGAGCTGAATGATAAACGAAGATCAACTTGACTGCGAATCAAGCGATTATAATAAGCTATATAAAGACAAAAACCAAAAGTTTAAATCCTTGCGTAAGTCACTAATGTAAAAGCATTTAAAAAGATGTGCTGTATAAAAGCCTAGCTCTAAAGCTAGACCTTATAATCTCACAAAAGAAGTGCTAAAAAAGATAAGTAGAAAGCTCGTTGATTGTTCTAGCTAAAAGATGTGTGCCTTCTTATAGAAGCTAGGTCCGTCTAGTATGGCCTTAATGGCCATGGCAGGTACCCCATCAGGCAGGGTGTTTACACTAGCTATTCTTTAAATACTCTTATTATTATTCGCTAACTTTTAAAGTTATCGTTAATATACTCGGATAGTCTTTAATCATTAATACGAAAGCTATACTCGATACAAATGCGAAAGTTAGCGTTATTACTTATAACGCCGCGATTAAATTCGAAGTCTTTATAGCTTACGATCAAGAGATAAGCTTTCGAATAATCACCGGTTTATTATCGCGCTTTATTAAATACATTAATAATATGTTTATTAATATCGAAAGTGCTACGATCCGTGTCCGATTCTACGTTATAAATTCGTTAAAGTTTCGATTTATACTCGGTTACTTTTTTATACGCAAAGCGAAAATCGATTTTCGATACTTTTCGGATTATAAAAATAGCTTTATTATTATTATAATAACTGATCCGTTTATAAGCTAAGTTACTTAAGTTAAAGTAAGCGATAAAACGAATTAATATAACGAAGCCGTCGATCGCTTAAAAAAGCAAAGTATAAGCTTTATCTATTACGATAAGTCTTCGAATAGCAGCGGCAGCGACTCGGAAAACTAATAACCGGCTTCGTTAAAAGCGCCGAAGTCGATATATTAAAAGCTTTTTGCTTTTCGTTGAATTTCGAAAGCGAAACGTTATAGCATCGAAAAAAAGACGACTTTACTATTTAAAAGCAGTTTACTTAAATAAAATAAAATATTATAAGTTTAAAAAAAAGTTATTAAGTATAAAGTAAACGATAAAAAGCTTTAAAGACTTTCGACGAAAAGCTTTCTTTTTCGATTAATAATCGATAAACTTTCGATTAAAACGAATATTATCACGGCTTATCACGATAAAAGTAATTATAAAAGCCGTAAATCAACTTATTACCGTGTTTCTTAACGCTACTTTTAGAATAGATATTATACGGACGTTAAACGATTCGTTAAAACTTATAAAAAATGCTAGTATCGAACAATTAATAAGCTCGAAGAACTATTGCACTTTACTCGATTTAATAGCTTAATAAAACGCTAAGCTATCGATATTACTTATTTACTTGTACGTAATAACAAAAGCTATTTAATTATTACTAAAGATAATATAAATAAATAAGTCGAAGCGAAAGCGATTCGGACTTAAGACTCGCTTTCGATAGCTAAGTTTATTTAAAAAGATATTATTTGTCGCTATAAGATTTTCTTTTAATTAATATAGTGCTTACTAGCACTAAGATCAAGAAGAGATTCTGTGGATTGAATGAAGCTTGGTATATTTTATCTAAGAAGCTCGTCAAGATTTATATACATGTACTTAAGAGCTCTAGTATGCTAAGGGCGCTATTAAGCGAGGTCATATAATATATCATATATAGCTTAAGTGGAACTATGCTTGTTCCGCACAACATACCTTTTAAGTCAGCAGCGTAGCTGCTAAGCTGCAAGCAAACAGAAAAAAAAAAAATAAGTAATTAAGCTTTTTAAACTCGATGTAAACAAAAGAGATTGTCATCGCAATCTAAATAAACAAATAGCGGTTGTTATTATTGATTGAGTATTAATTAAGAATGCAATTCTTTCTTAAGTCGGTCTTATTACGTAGCGGAGGTCTTTAGCGCCGTCTTTATCGCGTTGCTATATAAGTAAGAGCGCGTTCTTTTTTATTATAATAAACACTTAATTTCTATTTATTTACATAATGCCTTTTAAGCAAGTAACTTAATCTAATAGAATCGTTAAGCGCGGCCGAGGCCGTTTAAAAGTAAGTGCTCTTAACAGATTAATATTTCTATGCTAATTATTAAAAGAATCTTTTATCCGCTTTAATTATCGCTATTGCTGCAATTACGGCGGCGGCGGCGGTTATACTTCGCATTCTTACCTCCGAGCCTTCGCCTTTTCTTCTAGACCTTCTTATTAAGCGCTTGCTTATGCTAACGACCGTTAAGGCTTTAAAGTGCATCAAGTGCATTAATAGTAAGATCATATCGAAGTCTAATAAAAACTGTTATAATTGCGATACGAGCGTCATTCGTTATCTCCGGTATGCTAAAGGTAGCTATAGCAATTGCACCGCTGCTTTTGCCGCTATTAACACCGCTTTTAATAACTTCGTAAGCGCTAAAAACAGTAGTGCTATATAAAAAGTTCGCCGAAGTCTTCGAGATGCTATGCGATAACAGCTTGCTTTAAATGCTGCTTTTTCAAAAAGTATTACTAGTAGTCCGGGCGGTCTAACGAGTAAAAGTAAAGGTTTTAAAAGTAGTCCCGATAGCTTTGTAGGTTTTGCTTTTGCTCTTAAGACTTTCAATTTGAATATAGCTTTTATTAGATTGAATAGTCTTATAGCAGCGAACCGTGGTCTGGTGACGCGAAGCGCTTCGAGTATATTATCTTTTCGTAAGTCAAGCTTCTTGACTTTCGAAATAATCTAATTTAAGCAGCTCTTTTTGATCAGAACTTCTTCTCGGACTTTATGCAAAGGCTCTAATCTGCTGCTATAATAGCTTTTGCGCTTGCGCTAGCCGCCTTTGTTGCTCCTATCGCTTCCGCAGCTCCCGTCGCTCCCGTAGCACTTATTATCGTCGCCTCCTTTACGCTAGTTGTTGCGCTTGCCGCTTTTACGGCGGCGCTCGCCGTTGCTATAACGCTTGCGAAGCGCCGAGCTAAAGTAAAGAGATTGCTAAGAGCTTTAGTTGATCTTTTGTTATAAAAAGCGAAAAGTAAAAGCGTGTAAGATAAGATAGAATAACAGCTATGATTGCTAAATAAATTTTTTTTTTTAAATCACGTGCAAATGAAAAAAAAAAAAATATAATAAGTGAATAGTATATGCGTGCTATTAAAGCTTTTCGACGAACGCGCGAGCGTCTTGTAAATTTAAGAGCTTGATAAAGCTTTTAAACTTTTATCGAGTCAAGTTCTTTATAAGATTGTTAGCGTGCATTTTATTAGTAAAGAGATATTGAATTAGAAAGCTCTTTTTAAAGTGCTTTTAACGCAGCTATATATTATAAATATCGACGTAACGAAGCTTAATAAAGATACGCTCTTTTTTACTAGCTATAAGCTTGATAGTTTGTTGATTATTATAATAGATTATTTAAAGCGCCGTAAAACGAAGGTGCAGCTCTTTGAAAAATCGTTAAAGCGCTATAGTCTTTTTTATTATAAAAGCTATGCTAAGAAGCTCCGCTTTAGTGAATGATGTAATGATTGTATTTTGCTTTAAAGCTTTTTAAAAGATCGCACTTTTGAACAAAAACATAATGTACTTTTAAGAAGATCGCTTTGTTTTTTCGTCATCGGCGTAAAAAGCGTTAAAGGCTATTACTAGCTCCGACTTGCTAAACTGGCTGTATTAAATACTTTTAAAGCGCGAGCTAAATAAATATCGCAAACACTAGTTTACAGCTCGAAGGTGCTTCGCGCTTAAATTAATGTTAAAGTGAAAGAATTAAAAAGCTGCAAAAGCTATATTTAAGCGTAGCATAATCGCTGTATATAATACGAATCTAACCTTTTTCTGGTACTTCTTCATTTGCTTCCGCGAAGCTATCTTTTTATTTTTAACTAAGTTATAAAATAGTAATAGAGTTGCTAAGCAACGTCCGTCCGTAAGTTCGAATTTTTTAATTATTTTTTTAATATAAGCGTCGTGCATAAGCGTTAGCGTTCTTCGTTAACGGTCTCGAGCGACTTTTATATTAAGAAATTATTTAATATCTTCTATCGCTTCGATCTTATACGCTTTATTAAGACCGTTAATGATCTCTTGCGCTTTAAAAAGATTAAAGTGATAGTATATGACTTGAATATCGTTTACGTAAAACGCTATAAAAACCGTCTTGTTTAGATTCGTAAAAATACACGGTTTTTTACCGAGTAGTATAAGCTTTAATTTGTCGAGTATGCTTGTAAAGTCGAAATATTATAAAGCTAGCGAGTCTTTAAGTTTATATAAAGCTTTATCGACTTTCACGAGTATACTTTTTTACTTAAAACCGTTAAGAAGATAACACGTGATTAAGACGCTGTCCGTGTGTCTTATAGCGTTAATAAAAGCGTTGACGACGTCGAACTGTTTTACTTTTAAATTAAATTCGGCTATTATAGCTATTATAATCTTAAAAGATTTAACTGCTAACGTAGTAACGTAAGTTAAATAAATAATAGATTCGTTTTAAAAGTCACTTTTAATAATAATCTTCGATCTAAACCTTACGATCTCTTCGAACGAGCTAGTCTTATATATAAACACTTACTTAAGAAATATAAGTTTTGATTTTGTCGGTTCATTTATATCGACCTTAGCTAGTAAATAATAGTTGGGAGGAGCTCATTCGTGAACCAGGGTTCACGGGCCACTAAGCATGCTTCGCTTAGCTTGTCACAGGTCCGGGGACCCCCCAACCTGCTTGTAAACCTAGTATTTAGCTAGTATACGTGACTCCTTCTTATTATATAAAAGGAGTCAGCTCTTTTAGGAACCAGAACAACAAGCAACAATTAAGTATTTTACTACCGAGTGTTTTGCAATTGCAAGAACTTTAACGACGTCACGACTTTTACGAATTATTACGAGAGATCGCTACCGGCGATCCAACACTGATCAGTGATTATTTAATCGCTTATTACTTAATCACAAAGAAGCTAAGATCGATCGAAGAGTTGGGACTTTACTTCTACTTACTCGAAGAGTATAGAAGTGGTGAGTTTGCGCTATAAGAAACCTGCAACCGCAATGAAAATCACTTACCTTTTATTACGATACTTTTCTTTTACAACGGAAGAGCGATTCCGTACCAAGTCGCTTGCTTATACTACCGCCTTACCTTTATACCTTTCTACGAAAGAGCGATTCCGAACCAAGTCGCTTTCTTACACTTCGAATACCTTATTTATTACGGAAGAGTGATTCCGAACCAAGTCACTTATATATAACTTATCAACGCTATAGAGCCACGCTAGCTATACATAGCAATACAACAACCTATCAACGCTATAGAGCTACGCTAGCTACACACAGCATAACACTACGACTCGACGCTAAAAGAACCTCAATTAAGCAACATGCAGTCAATCGATCTTCGAAGCAGACAAAGAGCTTCTAGAACGTCAGCAAGAGCTCAAGCAACAGAGATTCAAGCACTTCGAATCTTTACAGAATTTACAAACCCTTTTTCGAGACCCGCGGAACTTTCTTTAATGCTATCGAACGACTCAAGCACTCGGAATACCTTCGAAGCCTTAGACGAAGACGCGTCGGACCTCGATTTTGACCTCGATTTATTACCGTATTCGAAGCTAGAAAGTCATACAAAAGCTAGATTAATTATCGAGGACTTCTTAAACATAAAGAATAAAGGTTTAAGAGACTACGAGCTTTAGTCTTTATTCCGACACGCTTTTGCTAAATAAAGCGCGGACGAGTTTTCGTTAGCCGCTAAACAAGCTCACGGCTACCGAGGAAGCAAGTTTACCTTGCTTATTAAACTAAAGGATCACTTAATGTCTAAAGGAGTTTAGTGCCTCTTAAAGCAGAGAGGCTACGCTAATGGACTAGCCTCAATTATTCAAATGGAAGAGCACCAATGGACTTGAGAAGAACAGCGAGCGCAGCAGGCAGCAATCGAAGGATTTAATTCTAAGTGGAACGATGTTACAATTGCCCGCTTAAATCGACAAACTAAGGAAGTCGCTAAAATTCAAGGAAAGCAAGTCGAAAGGTTTCTTAATCAGTCAGGCTTTATTCGTCTTACTAAAATCATCGACGAAGCTCTACTTTCACCTTTACCTCTAACTCTAAATTCGCTTCGCTAATCACTCCGAGAAGAGTACGAAGAGCTCCGACGCTAAAAAGAAGCAATTGCGCGAGACTTCGACGACCTCCGAAATCTAACAATTACGAAGGACGCGCAAAAGCGTAAGGAGGGCATCGAGGAGGCTATAAGGCACAAAGAAGAGCTCAAGGCAGCAAGGCAATCATCAAGGCGAAGTTCTCGCGATTCACTTCTTTCTTCCGTTCCTTTACTACTTCAGCTATCGATTTTGTCACCGAAAGGATCCGTAAAGGAGTACAACGACGAGCCTCTAAAGGTTGAGGACATTCCGGGCAATTTTTACTCTTACTAAGGACAACATAGAGAACTTCGTCCTCGACTGCGCTAGCCGCAAGAAGCCTAAACCTACCGAGGGCATACTCTTAAGGAAGAGATTCGGAAAGAAGAAGACTAAGGCAATAGATACCGCTAAGGCCGAGCTTAAGGATACGAGCAGAAAAGAAAGCAAGCTTTTGCTAGCGACTTTAGCGATCCAGATAGCTCGGACGGTGATCCAAAAGGAAGGAATAGAAAGGGAAGCGAGTGGAATGAGCACGGAAAAAGAAGAAGAGGACACGGTGGCCCGACAAAGGGATAAGGAAATGAGCCGCTAAAAGACCTTGGACGAGACTTTGGACGAGGATACGAGCCTCCCGGCGAACCTAGGCCAAACCGACCTTTTACTAGCACCTCTTTTTCGACCCGAGTAATAGCTAAGCACACTTACGGCACTCCGGGAGCCTTTGACGACGACGATTTTCTTGAGCTCGGAACGGCAGACCTACACCCGAAGGCGAAGGAATTAGCTTTACTTGCAAAGAGTTTTCTTAAAGAATTGAAATATTTAAAGCCGAAAAACGATTTTAATACTCGGCTTAAGATTTTTGCCGATCACGCGTGCCGATACGAGTTAACAACCGATGATTACTTAGCTGCTTTCTCGATTATGCTCGCCGAGGAAGCAATTAGGTTTTATTATAATTACGTGATCAAAGCTAAACTTCTTACTTTCAAGGAGAACGCTATAGTAGTCAAGGATTACTTTAAGATTGAACACCGACGCTAAGCTAAATACGATCGATAAGAAGAGCTTTCTTTAGAGCTGATTCGGAAGGAAAATCTAGCTAATTCGTTAGCTAAATGCTTTGAAAAGCTCGAAAAAGAGCTGAGAGCAGTGCAAAGAGCTCTTCGGCCAAGTCTGAAGGATAATAAGAGTCTCGCTGACAAGCTATATTCAGCTTGTAAAAACGTGTTAAAGACGACTATAGCTCGGATAAACCCCGCCTTTACCTCTACCGCCGTAATTGCTGATATTCGCCGAGCAATTGCGTTTGCAATTAAGAGCTGATGTGCAAAAGCAGACCTGCAATGCACATTGCAGTAACCAGTCTTATAACCTTATATTCCCGCACGACACACCCCCTAGAGCTGGCCGGTTGATGCTTACCGACTGCTCTGTAAACCACGTTGCGGCTAATAGCTTTTCTATTACTTATCGAAATGGATTTTTGGTCAGCGATTTTATTTACGCAATTGCGATATCGCAGATTCGCAGCCTGACTAATAAGTCATTATGTCTTATCGATAAGAAGGGTGGATGCCCCGCAGCTAACGATAGCGAGGTAGCATCGGGTTTTCGGCTAAGAAAACTTTGTTCTGCGCTCAGCGTAGCTCAATGACAGCCAGCTTGATCGATCGACCAACTGAACCATCGGAGCGAATGTGGCTCTTAACTGATGTGCAAAAGCAGACCTGCAATGCACATTGCAGTAACCAGTCTTATAACCTTATATTCCCGCACGACAAGAGCTTACGACCTCCCGCCAAGGCGAGTAGAGCTTACGCGAGCTCTAGCGAGCCACACGATCAGCACTCTCCTTAGCACTCTCCTTAGCACTCTTTTTAGCACTCCTCTCAAACCTCTCCTCAGCGCACTTCAAGCAAGGCTGATTCCGACGACCTTAAGGACGAGTACGAGTGCTTTATTCAAGGCTGCTAATACGGAAGGGAGCACTGCGAGCACTTCGCAAGGTGACGGATTTTTGAAAGGGAAAGAAGGGGGCTTGTTTC